ATATATATATATATATCCAGCCCTAGTTAAATCCTACATTTGCCCCCGGAAGTCAAAGCGGCCCACCTTGCCCTCTTGACCAAGGTTTGGTGTTCCAATTTGCTCATACCATCATGTCCATTCATAACTCCGTCAACTTTGTTGATGTGACATTGTAGGACCCATATTTTTGTTGATGTGGACTCCACATAAGTAATATGTTAATTAAAATAAGAATAAGCTCTTTTCAAATATTAAAAATTAAAAATAATAAAATAACATATTTATAAATAATAGCAACCCATAAATCAATATGTTCTTGTTATGAAGGAGATAGAGTATGGTGGTGGGTTGGGAAGCGAGTGAAGGTTTAAGGTTTAGTTCGGGACTTGAAAATATTGTCCGGAGATTGAATACAAGTTTTAAATACATAAAACTATTTTTGGATTATCAAAATAATTGTTCCAAGTATATCAAATAATTAAAACTGATTTTTGGAAATAAAAAACTATTTTAAAAATAATTTTGGAGATTAAATACTTATTTTAAAGTCAACAAAAATAATTTAAAACATTAAATATAATGAAATACAAAATTAAACTTCATCAGAAAATCGTAAAATTAATTAACAAAGCATTAACTATTTTTTAAATTATTAAAATAATAAGTTATAACTATTTAATTAAACTAAAACGATAATAAAAACTATAGATATTTATAAAAATACCCAATCCTAGACATGTATTTATAAAAATACCCAAGCACTATTTAAACATAGAAACATACCCAAAATGGGTTTTGGGTATGTGTGTAATGATGGGTTTTGAGTATGTTTATAAATGGGTTTGGTATGTGTGTAATGATGGGTTTTGGGTATGTTTATAAATGGGTTTTGAGTGTGTGTAATGATGGGTTTTGGGTATGTTTATAAAGTGTTTTGGGTGTTGGGTATTTTTATAATTCGCTAAATTTGATTAAGAATACTATAATTTAAAACTAAATTAAACTAATTCAAACAATAAAGTAAATTAAATCAACCGTTCTAAGTCCGTGTCAGCGAGTCCTGGTCATCGATCTCGCCCAGTCAGCTCAAAGCGAATGGTTCCGATCGTGCCACGTCTCAAGCCAATCTTAAAAGCTCCCTGAAAATTCGTACGAACTCATATTCACCTCTACTATTTTTTGTAACCTTCACTTCTCCAAAATCCTTTAAAATATATTTCCAAATGATTTTGTACACCTCAAATAAATCCAAATAACTTCAAAAATTCAACTTGCACAACTTTTGAGCCCTAAAATTTTTCTTTCATACACATGATACCAACAAAAAACCCAAACTTTTCAAATGATAAGGGGTTTTTCAAATGTGAGCCACCCCTTCTTATAAAATGGTTCAACCACTACGTCATGGTTCACCAAAGGGCGCAATCATTACGCCAGCACGCGCATGCCCCTTCACTCCACATGGCACACGCCTCAATTAATTCCCCTTCATGCATGCATTGACGTCTAAGTGACAACCCATATGCGCTTCTCCAAAAATTTGCATTGCAATGACAAGTCCACCGTTATTCGACATATGTCACTACAATGGTCCAAGCTACAGATTCATAATTACAACACGTTTACCGAACGGTAATGACGTGTACACCTAAAGTGACAACCCATTAATGAACACCTTACCGAACGACAACGACACAAACACGCTATGAGGTTACCTCCCTATTAGCCTATCTATCTTTTGCATATCCATTATGTTCCTGCATAGGGTCCATGTGACTGAAGGCAGGCTCACTTCTAATTTGTATCCATTTTTTATGTCAAAATATATCAAACTCACCAAGTTTGATGGCCCACTTGATCAGGCGCCTTGAGGTTTTTGGCTTCTACAATACTTGGCGTAATGGCAGATTTGTAAGCACCGTGATGGTGTGCGCCTTGAAGTATGGCCAAAGGTTAGGCGCTGAGACGATCAATGCCGAGGACAACTTCTTCAAATCATGGTTTTGAAGCTTTATGTCTTGAAGGGCCTTACTAACATAGTATACTGGGTGTTCCACGCCATCGGACTTACAGATGAGTACAGAGATGACTGTCTTACAGACACTGAGAGGTAGATGATGAGGCCGTCACCGGGAGTGGTTTAGAGAGCAGTGGTGCCTTGCTCATGTAATCCTTTAGGATTTGGAAAGCTGCCTCGTATTCGGCAGTCTAAGTGATCTGCCGTTTGTTGCCTTTGATATATAGTTTTGTGGCTTCGGCACTTGCATGTTCACCAATTTTTCTAGGTTAGGCTCAATACCTCGTTGGCTGATCATGAAGCCCAAGACTTTGTCGAAAGATAAACCAAATGTGCACTTCATTGGGTTGCGGCGCATCTTTTAGTACTTTAGTATGCTGAACATCATCGAAAGGTTATAGAGGTGCTAATCGACAGTTTTTCTTTTGACCAGCATGTCATCCACATAGACTTCCATTTATGGTTGATATGTTTGGCAAAGATCTGGTTTACCAATCGCTGGTAGGTGGCTCTTGAGTTCTTCAACCCGCAGGGCATGACATTGTAGCAATAGAGCCCCTTTTTAATGATGAATGTTGTATGCTTCTCATCAGCAGCGTGCATGAAAATATGGTTATACTTTGAATAAGCATCCATGAAGTTAAGGAGCTCATGGCCTGATGTGGCATCCACCAACTGATTGATCATTAGGAGTGAAAAGCTATCCTCAGGGCAAGCCTTGTTGAAATTGGTATAGTTCAGATGTCTTCTTGACCATTACAGAATTGGCCAGTCATATGGGATAATCTACATTTCTGATGAAGCCGAAAGTGCGAAGCTTGTCTACTTTGGTCTTCATGGCCTCATACCTTTTGTGGTAGATGACATCCAATGAAATGCCAAGCATGTTGTCGTAAGACCAGTCAAAAACTTTTGAATTATCTTTGAGGAATTTGATGAAATCAACCCAAAAAGCCTCAGAAAGATAGGTGTGGATGCAGATTCGTGGAGGGCTATTGATTCCAACTCCTCCATTGGGCTTGAGGGGTAAGAGATTCATCTATTGGGTCCTCTAATTGATCGGTGCCCATGTGGTTCGGCATTTGCGGCATTGTGGCAAAGACAGAGGAATTATGCCATAATCATCATGGGATCTTTGTGAGGGAAAATAATGCCCTTCTCCTCTTCTTCAGAAAGGGTGATCAGTTCCCTGTTTGTATTCTGCATCTTGTAGTTGTGGTGAATTCGATACCAGGGACCTTTGGGTATTGAACTGCAAGAAGGCCATTTTTTATAAAGTTCTTGTTCTTGTTGACAAGGGTGGTGCCATCACTGATGGTCTTGATCATGTTGATTTGCCTATGGAGTTTTTGCTGTGGAGGGGGTTGGTCGCTGACATATTGCACCAGCTTGCCCTCTTGTATAAAGCGTTCCACGATTTTGCGCAAAGATATGCAAGATTAGGTATCATGGTCGTTGTGCTGATGATACCAGCAGAAGACACCCATATTTGCTAAAAAGCCTTCCGATTAGATGGCTTCAGAATCATGTTGGTTTTGTTTAGGAGAATTTATCTCGTAAGTGGTGTTCAACATGATGAACGAGCATGGTCGAGGCTTGCTCCAGGGCGGCTGTTTGGAATGGGACTTGTCTTCCTCAAGTTTTTTTATCTTCTTAAAGAGGAGACAAACGGTGAGATCAGCACTTGGGCTCATCGTTTGCCGAACTGCAAGGTGATCTTGGCAGAGGTTGTTGAGCCCTTTTGTTGTTGTGCTCTACCGGACGTTATGGGTCTTTCTCTGGCTCTCCTTGGCCCTGGTGGTGCCCTTTTGTCGGCAGGTTGTACCATAAGAACGTTTCACGCGGTGATGCTTGTGTCGCTGGCAATGTGTTCCTACTGATCTGTATGACTACTTAGGTATCAGTTGGAAATACTCAGAGTCCCTCATTTCTTCAAAGCCACATTCCGTATGGGCGTTACGTCCTTAGGGTCAAGAACGTGCATACGGAAATCATTGAGCTTGATGTTAATTTTGATCAGCTCTTCTTGATGAGCCTTCATGATATGCCGAAGTTAGGAATAAACTCGGTGACCATGGTAAGGTTGGTCTTCGACAGGGGGCACGATTAACTGCCGCAAAAGAGTGGTTTCGGCAATTGCCAAGCCCTTGCCCCTAGTGCATTTGTTAGGGTTGTGCACTCTTTGGAGGGTGTGTTCTTGCTGAACCTGCATGGTCTGCTCAAGGCCTTGCTCAAGATGGCAGAATAGGATTGTTGCCCCTGAGTATTATTCAGCTTAGTCAAGAGGATATTGTTGTGCTTTTGCATTTTGGCCATGTCTTGGCACAAGGAGTCTAGTTGAGCTTGCAGATTTGCTTCGACAGTTAGTGGCCGGATGGTGATGTAAAGTCGCAAGGAAGTTGAAAAGTAGATGTTGCAATTGAGAGAGAGAGAGCTAAAATGTTTCTAGGTTTTTCAGCAATTTTTCAAAACTAAAAATACCTTGGTACTTTAACTCTCTTAACTTCTTCGTTACAACTGCAATTCCCAATCCGTTCGCGAGAGCAAGCCTGACGTCATGGTGCAAAAGAACTTCCCAAAACTAGTGTTGAACAAATATGGCTCGAAAATCGAGTTCTTGAAAAATAAATGCATTGAGATTAGAGCCTTGGGATTTCTAAATACATTCAAAGGTATGCTTTGGTTTAGGAAAAAATTAAATTCCAACACCACATGTAGATTGGACCTAGTTAAGTTTTAATGAACCATAATAAATTTTATTTCAAATAGTTAAACTAAACATTATTTTCTTGTCAAACTAAAAATCGTCCTAAACAGTTTCCTCGAAGCAAAAACAAAAAAAATACAATTTTGGCAAAAAGCGTGCTCAATTCTTCAAAATCCAACGATAGTCGCTTCTTCAGAAAAATACATAAAATTGAAGATCAATGGTTATGGTAATCATCAATTGCTAGTGGAGGTTGAAAAGGAAAAGTCTACTCTGATTCATTTGGAAGTCTGAGGACTCAAACGGGGAAATTAAATAAACAATCCATCGGTGTTAGATCATCAAATCACTTTGGACCCAAAAAAAAATATGATCAAATCACCCATCACTCCCAAGAAAAAATGAAATAATAAAATGAAGGGAATCCTAATGGAAAGCTTCAACTTGGTCCTTGAAGTGTTGTAGTAGGCTCTCCATGCTCATTACTGTCACATCACCCTTATCTCTAACCCTTACGCTAACCTGAAACCATAAGAGGATGGATCAGAGATTAACTTCTCACTAGAAGACTTCATGGCAGAGTTTAACTTACAACAAAGGACCCTGGGCAGTATAAACAAAAATTACGAAATTACGAAGAAAAAAAATAGGACCTGTCCATTTTGAACTTCCTCCCCACCCACAACTAAAATGTAGTTGTACTGTGCGATCTGAGCTTGTCGTACCTGCAAAAACAAGAGCATTATCAGTAAACAAACACAAGGCTGGTTTGCTTCAGATGTTATTATCTCGGTTCAGCAAAGAAATCGACAATGCTGAAGCCGTATTCATAATGTAAATGAATGGGGTGTTGCCCTCACTATGTGTCATGCAAGAGACACAAAATCCCTAGGCTCATCAGGATGGTGTTGCACAGTGCAGTCAAAATTACTGTATAGAAATAGAATAAAAGAACCATGCACTACTTTTCCTTAACTAGTTTATCTCAAGTTCCAGAATTTGGAAATATTTTGGCATAATCAAGTTGACTGATGATAGGAATTGCATTACATCTTAATTACGTAATTATTATACTAATATATGCAACACTACAGGCTGCAGCATGAACATTGAATCTCCCCTGTGACCAGTGGCGGCAGTGGCGGACCTAAAGAGGCGCAAGGAGGTGCAGCTGCACCTCCCCTCTCCGGAAAATCACTTTGAGAAGCTGGAAATGCCCCTCTGCTACTACCCACCAACTGTTCGATTATTTGCTCCAAAGAAGCTCCAGGCAGCAGCTCCTTTGCGCAGGCTGCAGCGCGCAGGGCTGCTTGGCTTCTTTTTTTTAAGTGATCTGTCCAAAACGCATAGTTTTGGTCCAAGATAAAAAAATAAAAAGAAAGAAAAGGCCACCACTACCCACACCGGCCAACTCCCCAACCACATTCCTTTTTTCTCAATCCTCCTTTGCCTCCATCATCCATTAGCTTTTCTCTTTGTGCTTTTTTTCATTATCATTGATTATCTCTCCCTCTCTGTATTCTTTGATTCAATTGGTAGAAACCCATTTGTTTTAGAGGCAAGAGAAGGGTTTCTTCACCCTCTGCTGAGTAATACAGCTTAAAGCGGTCGGGAAGTTGAAAATCAAGCTACAACCACAGCATTTTTCCAAAATGGTAACAGCAACAAAATGAAACGTCAAGAGATCATGAAACGAAAAATAGTGATCATCATATACCTGTAATGTTGCCAACTGATGATCTCTGCTCAATGCATCAGATACAGTGATATCTATCTTCGGTCCATAAAATGCACCATCCCCTTCATTCACCTGCACAACATGACTAGCGATGTAACCACACTCCAGACACAATCTAGAAATTCAAGGGGGCCTACTGTAGTGCTTTAAAAAGTACAGATAATCAACCAAAACAACAACACCAATCACAGAATTTGACCATTCTACCCTCACCAAGTGAATGGGTAGAGAAGAAACTGGGTTAGCCACTCCAATCCAATCCATCTGGCTCAGTATGAAAACTGTACTGACTGAGCTTCGTCAAGTTTTTAACCCACTGAGCTAAAGAATAAATAAGCTAGAAGCCTTGGGGGTTGGCCCAAATGGTAAGGGTGGGTGGGGGAATCAATTAGGATGCCATCGGTTTCCAATGTAACCAAAAAGGAAAAACAAAACAAAAAGCAAGCAACTACACTAGTGCACTATGAAAAATATTAGATCAATTTTCTTCCAAGTGAATTTTATTATCATTAGCTGCCAAAGGAAGAATAAGCTAGATGCTTATGTGCAATTAGAGTATCAAGTAAAAATACCTCCCAGGGCTTGCCGAACTCAATTAAAGCTTCTTTAAGAGCAGCCTCAGCCTTCTTCCAGGTTGCCAAATCTCCCATGTGGCTTTCTGGCATCTACAACATAAACGTGTAAGGCAGAATAAATATGAATTTCCCCTACTTCATAGACGAGAGATAGATACACACAATTATAACTCATAGCATTATGCAGTACCAAAATAATTAGATGTAACCCATACCCAATGAGTTAAAATGTAAAATCAGACTATCAATTCAATACCATGTGATGATCAAATAAAATTAAAAATCCAAATCCAAACATCACACTCAAAATAGAAGCTAAATCTACAACAAGACTGATAAGCTAAATCTCCATGCTCATTACTGTCACATCTCCCTTATCTCTAACCCTTACGCTAACCTGAAACATTAAGAGGATGGATCAGAGATTAACTTCTCACTAGAAGACTTCATGGCAGAGTTTAGCTTACAACAAAGGACCATGGGCAGCATAAACAAAAATTACAAAGTTAATGAAGGAAAAAAATATAGGACCTGTCCATTTTGAACTTCCTCCCCACCCACAACTAAAATGTAGTTTTACCGTGCGATCTGAGCTTGTCGTACCTGCAAAAACAAGAGCATTATCAGTAAACAAACACAAGGCTGGTTTGCTTCAGATGTTATATCTCGGTTCAGCTAAAAAATCGACGATGCGGAAGCCATATTCATAATGTCAATGAATGGGGTGTTGCCCTCACTATGTGTCATGCAAGAGACACAAAATCCCTAGGCTCATCAGGATGGTGTTGTACAGTGCACTCAAAATTACTGCATAGAAATATAATAAAAGAACCATGCACTACTTTTCCTTAACTAGTTTATCTCAAGTTCTAGAATTTGGAAATATTTTGGCATAATCAAGTTGACTGATGATAGGAATTGCATTACATCTTAATTACGTAATTATTATACTAAAATAAGCAACACTACAGACTGCAGCATGAACATTGAACCTCCCCTGTGACAGTAAACCACATATTTGACGCCATCAAACCACAAATGTGAAATCAAATCCTGCATTTACCCAACTTATGAATGCTCACCTTTTTCTGAATTGTTTTATCACTTGTGTCAACATCGACATAATAACCAGCTCGATGGATCTGATCCCGTACCTACAAAAATGCAAACGCAGTTTTTATCTACGACTTGAGCTTAAAGATATTGTACTCCACTAAGCACTTTGTACAACTCATAACATCAATAATTAAAAATATATTTTCAGTTCATCAGTTTCCTAAATTATCAACGGAAGACGAACCAAACAATACCAAAAACGAAAAACAAAACCCTAATCTAACCAAAGAGGGGTTGGGTTGGATCAGTTTCCTTCACCGGTTACCAAGTGAATTTGTGCATCTGAATAAAGTGTACTTCATTACCGAAACCTAATATCAAACTAACTAGATTTTACTTCAAAAACATTTAAAGAAAGTAGATATGATAGAGAGGCGATGAAATCTGGAGAAAGAGGCAAGACTTTAGCCATAACTCCATGATCTAAATCTTCATTCTCCACAGACAATATTATTTCAGACAGTTTGATTGGTTGTTTGCTAACTGTATCTCAGACACAACCAAAAATGTCAAAAATTGAACTAAAACAATGTAAGCCACTCTACCTTGGCAAGCAGTTGGCCACCAAGAGAGAGGCTACTGAAGAAATATGGTGATTGGCTCGCAAGATGAACAACCTGATATAAAAAAATTGATGGCTCATAGCCTTACACGATACATAAGCTACACTCAGGCCAAACAGTCGATCCAAAGAAGGGAAACATTAAAATTAAAAAAAGAAAGAAAGAAAAACCAACCTGTAGAGCATAAGGCAGGGCTGTGTGCGACACAGGGCAAACAATTGCCTGACGTGGACTAAGCCAGAAGGGCCATTTCCCTTTGTAATGTTCCAACAGTACAGCAAGCATACGCTCAACGGAACCTAAAACAGCTCTGTGTATCATAACAGGCCTCTCCATCTTGCCATCTTCACCCTCTGCTGAGTAATACAGCTTAAAGCGGTCGGGAAGTTGAAAATCAAGCTGCAACCACAGCATTTTTCCAAAATGGTAACAGCAACAAAATGAAACGTAAAGAGATCATGAAACAAAAAAAAAGTCATCATCATATACCTGTAATGTTGCCAACTGATGATCTCTGCTCAATGCATCAGATACAGTGATATCTATCTTCGGTCCATAGAATGCACCATCCCCTTCATTCACCTGCACAACATGACTAGCGATGTAACCACACTCCAGACACAATCTAGAAATTCAGGGGGCCATACTGTAGTGCTTTAAAAAGTACTGATAATCAACCAAAACATCAACACCAATCACAGAATTTGACCATTCTACCCTCACCAAGTGAATGAGTAGAAAAGAAACTGGGTTAGCCACTCCAATCCAATCCATCTGGCTCAGTGTTCCAGCTAAGCCAATTATGAAAACTGTACTGACTGAGCTTCGTCAAGTTTTTAACCCACTGAGCTAAAAAATAAATAAGCTAGAAGCCCTTGGGGGTTGGTCCAAGTGGTAAGGGTGGGTGGGGGAATCAATTAGGATGCCATCGGTTTCCAATGTAACCAAAAAGGAAAAACAAAAACAAAAAGCAAGCAACTACACTAGTGCACAATGAAAATTGGATCAATTTTCTTCCACGTGAATTTTATTATCATTAGCTGCCAAAGGAAGAATAAGCTAGATGCTTATGTGCAATTAGAGTATCAAGTAAAAGTACCTCCCAGGCCTTGCCGAACTCAAATTAAGCTTCTTTAAGAGCAGCCTCAGCCTTCTTCCATGTTGCCAAGTCTCCCATGTGGCTTTCTGGCATCTACAACATAAACGTACGAGGCAAGAATAAATATGAATTTCCCCAACTTCATAGGCGAGAGATAGATACACACAATTATAACTCATAGCATTATGCAGTACCAAAATAAAATGTAAAATCAGACTATCAATACTATGTGATGATCAAATAAAATTAAAATTCCAAATCCAAACATCACACTCACAATAGAAGCTAAATCTACAACAAGACTGATAAGATATTCCCTTGGAAGTATTTGTTGTCCATTTTAGATTTGAAAATAAACAAAAGAAATATATAATTCAAACTTCCAGCTTAGGCCAATAACTTGTGAGGAAGAACAATGACACTTTTCTACCGAAAAGTACAAAGAAAAACTAGATGTTCAGCTCTTCAATCATAGGGATCCAGAACCTTACTGTTGAAAGTTTCAGCTTAAAAGTGAATCCAAATATATTATAGGTATACTCGATAAACTCTAAGACAGCCCTCACTTCATCTTTTACCTGAAACACAGAGACATTAAAGTACCATAAGCAAAACGAAACTGCAAAAGTAAAATGTTAGGAGCTATGTGAGTAAAGTTTAACTCACTTGGGACTCCCTGCAGAAGATATGAGCGTCATCCTGTACCAAAAAGAACGTCAATAATGCTGGGAACTGGTACTAATACTCTAACTATACAAACCTACAACATTAACATCATCTAAAGTATCATGGTGGAGAGATTTGGTGGAGACAGGTTATTGCGCTTTGATGGCAGTATTTTGGGTTGTGTGGGGGGAGAGAAATAGAAGAATTTTTGAGAATTTCAATGGTGATGGGCTAGATGAGTTATGGGATTGAGTTCATTTTTGGGCATCGCTTTGGGCATCTTAAGGGGATCTTCTTCCAGCTTATTCTTCTAGATTGGAAGGCAGTTGCTTTATAGTGCTATTTTGGCTTTGTTCTTTTCCTTGTCTGTGCTTATAGTGGTCCTCTTGGCCACGGTTTCTGTTATATCTGTAATCTGCTTTTATTTCAATAAAATTTCGTTTCTTTTCAACAAAAGACTATATATATCATCTAAAGTAAATGCCAGGAACCCAAAAAAATAAACAAAGTATACCTGCTGGAATCTCCTGACACGTGTTAATCCAGTGAGTGCACCACTGGCCTCATTCCGATGTAACCCCCCAAAATCAGCCATTCGTAGAGGTAGTTCTTTGCATAAATATCAAACGCACACATAAGTAACAAGTTCAAGTCCTTAACAGCAAAGGATAGTCTATCACAGTTTTACCAAGGTCAAGACAATACCTCTATAAGAACGGTTCCTATGCTGAAACATTACACAGTGCCCTGGGCAGTTCATTGGCTTTAAGCCAAATTCCTGTTTCTCAATCTGCAATGGAACTTGACTTCGTCATATAAAAGGATACAAAATCAAGATAAACTTAGCCCAGTTCATTTACACCGCATAACTATTAGATGATGATCTCAATCAATCATCTGCATTGAATTTCATATATAATTTCCATATTGTTTTACTGTTTGAGCAACAGAGCCTTCTTCTTCATGACATTATCCAATATTTGGTATCATTCATATACACAGAATTAATAATAAATAAATATACATTTTCAAATCTGTGTATTGACCTTACTTGAAAAAAAGCCCGCGCGATGCTGCGGGTTTTGAAATTACACAGATAAAATAAAATTGTTTATATATACAATGAGATTTAACTTGTAGCATTATGCTTAACTAAGGAAGTATAAGTAGCAAAAAAGGAAGTAATAACATATTTTACAGGCTACTTGTCATGTTAAAATAGTAGACATGTTTGTATATACATCTTGGATAGTTCTGAGTAGCATGTTGTTTAATGGGTTGGGCTTTGCTTTGCAATTTCTTCATGACTTTTCTTCTCTTTGATGGAGGTCTTGACTCTATTATAAAAAAAAGGGAAAATAGCAAGTGTTAATGTAGATGAATGGGGAAAATTGAGTTAGGACAATAATCATAAACATCTAATTATGTATAAATAGGAATAATATAATTTAACAATCTAATAAGAAAGTTGTAAATGGTTTCCAATCGAAGAAACACAAAGTAACGAAATTAAATAAGAACTCAATGTTTTTCTTTTCTTTTAAGATATGAATAATTGAATATTATGTATGTAATATGTATTTTAATGAGATGAGTGAATTGTAAAAGAGAGAATACAAACTTTAATGTTGGAGTAAGAGAACTAATGAGCAAGTTGTTGATGGTTTTCCAATTGAAGTACCACAAAGTAAACATATTTTAAATTATGTGTTCATCTAAAGGAAAAGTTGAAAAGCGGTAAAATAATTATGGTTGGATGTATTGAAGAAAAATTGAAGAAATGGATGTAAATATAATCCTTAAGCTTCTAATTCTTTTATGTGTTAGGCACATATGACTAAAATGTCTTTTGCCCTTATTTCAAGTTAAAATTACTTAAGGGTTCGACATTTCTATGGGAAAACGAGCAAAGTCTCCCCTGAAAAACGAATATTTTCTAAAAATATTCACCTGTAAATATAACAATTTAATAACATTCCCAAACGTTCAGTTACAAAAATGATGTAGCATCATAAGATTATTAGAATGTGTAAAACCTGAAATACTGAAAATGACATAAAAAAAACAAATATTTGTATGCATATGCAGTGAATATTCTAAATGTAGATGAAAGACCAAAATTATGGCAAATGGCAAGGGTTTAGATTGCAAAATTAACAATAAGAGTTTATTAATAAGACGTGTCAACAATGAGATATTAATGTTCAAACAAATACACAATTCATGTATATCCAATTACTGTTTAAGTTGAAATAGTGTAAAGGACTGATTTTCTCACCATTGCATCAATCGAGACGCATTGCAAACCAGCAAATTGATCATTAGTTCTGAACACCTTTGGTCTCCAGGTTTTGCACACACGGACTCCAATTTTCATACCGGATTGAAAGGGGTGCAAATTGTGGATCGGAACCGTGTTCATTGTGCCATCAATCTAAAGAGAAAAAGTATATGCCCTTAGTTAGTATAAAGATGCATAAAAAATTATTTCATAAAATAGAGGAATGTTTAATCATGAATGAACAGAAGCTGAAACCTGATAGTAAATTTTGAAGAACATCTTTGTACACTTAATACATGAGGTTGATCAACAAGAAGATAATTTCTCAGAATCTCTGTTGGTAAATGAGTAATTGTTGATAACCTTTCTTTTCTTTTTGTTTCTTTTGTTGCATCAATTATAATAACACTTCAATCCAATTTAAGCAAATGCACAAATTGGTTAATCAGATTCCACGAATTTTGCTCTTTTGATTGTTCCTTGATTTCATTTTTTCGGTTGCGTTTGTTATAGGTGCTGTACTGCTTTTTGGACTGTTTGATAGCTCTTTCCATTGCTGTTAGGAAACAGGTCAGTTTTCTCTTCGTCTTTTGAAGAGGTCATGCATATCAACTGTGGCAAATTGATTTTTGGATGTTGTGTCATTTGCAAATTGTTATTTATGTGGTTGTGATGTTATTGCTCATATCTGGTTTGCTTGGTTGGGCTATAGAAATTGTATTAATTCGTTTTCAGATGTTGTGTTGTTTGAAAATTCTTATTTTTATATCTACAGTACTGTTGCTGTGTGTCCATTTTGCTTGATTAGGCCATAGATGTAATAAAAATATTATAATTTAACTCATACAATTTTTTTTTTCTTTTCCAGCTATCGATCTATTGGTTGTAATTTGTAATTTTTGAATATCATGTCTAAAAGGATTGGAAAAACCAGAGAAAGCCTGAGGACACAGGAAACCCATATTTCTGCCACTTCGAGTGGTAAAGAAATCTGTCATGAAAATATTTGTTGCACTAATACTAAGCATAACCATCAAGCCAAAAAAAAGGTTTTTTATCACAAAACGTCCCTCACGTTTGCGAAACTATCAGATTGCATCCTTAAAGTTTTTTTGTATCACTCATGGTCCCTAACGTTAATATAGGTGCTCTTAAATAGTCCCTCTGTCAAAAAAACTATTAAGTCCAAGGATATAATCGTAAAATCAATTCAAAATATTATAATATATATATATATATAAATTTCTCTCTCCCCTCTTTCTTTTCTATTTTCTTTCCTTCTCTCTCTCTCTCTCTTCTTCTTTCTTCCTCTCCCCGAGTTCAGAACTACAGCGGCGAAGAAGAGGATTAGGAGGGAGATCAAGCTTCTCTTTCTTGGGGTTGGGTTGGGATATTGGTGGGGATTGGGACGGGGATCGCCTTTTCAATGTTCTCCTGGGCTTGGGACTGGAATTGGGAGATTTGAAGCTGCTGCTGTTGTCAAGGCAGAGCATGGACAAGTGTTTGCCAACCACCGCTGCGTATTCTTCTTCTTCTTCTTCTTCTTCTTCTGACTTTGGGTTCTTAATGTTCTGGTCACTGCATTCAACCATTAGTTCTTCTTGAACAAATTCTATCTCTTCTTCTTCTTCTGGTAGGGAGGGAGAGATTCTTGAGATTCTTGAATATTTTATTTTAATAATTGGATGCAGAGTTGCGAATGAAATGCCTCCTCTCTCTTATATAAATACAGCAATATATATATATATATATTTAACGGCCTGTGAGAGTCTTTTCAACTTTCAACTTTGATAGTTGATGAAAGAAAGAGGAGAGAGAAGACTGAACTCGGGGAGAGGAAGAAAGAGAGAGAAGAGAGAAGGAAAGGAAATAGAAAAGAAAGAGGGGAGAGAGAAATTTATATATATTTTTTATAATTAAATTGATTTTACAATTATATCCTTGAATTTAATAGTTTTTTTGACAGAAGGACTATTTAAGAGCACCTATATTAACGTTAGGGACCATGAGTGATACAAAAAAACTTTAAGGATGCAATCTGATAGTTTCGCAAACGTGAGGGACGTTTTGTGATAAAAAACCTTTTTTTTGGCTTGATGGTTATGCTTAGTATTAGTGCAACAAATATTTTCATGACAGATTTCTTTACCACTCGAAGTGGCAGAAATATGGGTTTCCTGTGTCCTCAGGCTTTCTCTGGTTTTTCCAATCCTTTTAGACATGATATTCAAAAATTACAAATTACAACCAATAGATCGATAGCTGGAAAAGAAAAAAAAACATGCATGAGTTAAATTATAATATTTTTATTACATCTATAACCTAATCAAGCAAAATGGACACACATCACAGTACTGTAGATATAAAAATAAGAATTTTCAAACAACACAACATCTGAAAACGAATTAATACAATTTCTATAGCCCAACCAAGTAAACCAGATATGAGCAATAACATCACAACCACATAAATAACAATTTGCAAATGACACAACACCCAAAAACCAATTTGCCACAGTTGATATGCATGACCTCTTCAAAAGACGAAGAGAAAACTGACCTGTTTCCTAACAGCAATGGAAAGAGCTATCAAACAGTCCAAAAAGCAGTACAGCACCTATAACAAACGCAACCGAAAAAATGAAATCAAGGAACAATCAAAAGAGCAAAATTCGTGGAATCTGATTAACGAATTTGTGCATTTGCTTAAATTGGATTTAAGTGTTATTATAACTGATGCAACAAAAGAAACAAAAAGAAAAGAAAGGTTATCAACAATTACTCATTTACCAACAGAGATTCTGAGAAATTATCTTCTTGTTGATCAACCTCATGTATTAAAAATCAATTCCTTGTTTGGAGCCCAAAACTTTTTAATTTAAAATAAAATATGACAAAAAGCCTCCAAACAATCCAAATCTAAAGCAAAATCATCAACCAGTTCAATCAAAAGCAACAATCAAAGGCTAAGATAGCTAAAATACCTCAGTTGTAATGATTCAAAACGAAAAATATAGAAAATAAACTCAGCAAGCAACAAAATCCCAGAAAGGCAGTGCCTAAACAAATTATACTAACAGAATCAATAACAATTTTCCATTTTTTCCTGTAAAGTAAAAAACAGAGAATTTCAAAAACTCATTACAGAGTCCTCATTCATAATCTCGATCCTTAATTAATCAGGAAAAATGTATATGCTGAGTCATCCTGAACAAATCGTGTTTCCTATCAAATCATCTAAGAATCCGGGGGGCATAGTACTGCATGAAACTACTTAGCTTAAATTGGAAGGGTTACCACCTGCAGCCGAAGGCC